GGGGGGGGGGGGGGGGGGGGGGCGGCCGAGGGTCAAAAGCGGGCAGGAGGCCGCGTGCGGCACGCAGGTGAGGGCGGGCCATCCCGCCGTCCCAGGCAGGGTGCCAGAGCATTCTGAAATCCGTACCCGTGCGCGACCGCCGTGAGGCGCGAGCAGGCGCCGCAGCTGGCCCAAACAGCCGCGCCCGTCCCCTCCGCCCGCGGCCCTGCGCCAAGGCGCCCTGCGTGCCGCGCTCACCCTCTGCCGCAGGTGCTCGTGCACGTTGAACGTTGCCACGGGCCGGTCCTCCTTAGCCAGGTCCCAGAGCTTGACAGTCATGTAGTCCCGTGACAGCAGGTAGCGGCCGTCGCGGCTGAAGCGGATGTCGCTGATTGACGCGATGATCTCGCTGAAAAAAGACTTGGTGACCTGGCGGGGGCGGCCGCGCCCGGGGGTGGCGGGTGTCGCAGCCGACGGGGAGCGGTCAGCTAGCAGGCTGAGCATGGGGGCGCGGCAGAATGGGGATGCGGCGACAGGGGCTGCGGCAGCGCAGGAGGCCGCTCGGTTCAAGCGGGCGGCGCGCCCCCTGCGGTCGCGCCCGTACCGTGTGCGCGTCCGCCTCCTCAAACGCCTTCGCGTGCCGGTCGCACAGCGCCGCCCCCCGCATGTCGGCCAGCCGGATGCACCCCTTGCTGCTGCTGTATGCAAACACGTTGCACTGCTGCGGGTGGAACTCGGCCGAGGTGATGACCTCCGTCAGGTCCTCCATGTTCTGCGGCTTGATGTCCACGATGTTGAAGGACTGATCTGTGACCTCCAGGTTCCAAAGGTTCACCCGCAGGTCGTCCGCGGACAGGAAGGTCTCCTGGTCGCTGTTGACGCTGATGGAATTGATGTGGTAGGTGTGCGCATTGGCGTACACGCGCTTGGTGCGCGAAGCCAGGACGAGCTCGCTGCTGGCGACGCTGGGCAGGCGCAGCGGGCCCGCCAGGCGCGCGAGGGCGCCCGCCGAGGAGCCGACCAGCCGCGGCGAGCCGTTGGCGCCGACAGGCATGAAGCCCCCGCTGCAGAGGGGGTAACGGGTGGGGGCTGGGCGTCATGGGCGGATGGCTGCTAAGGTTGCCGGTTTCGCAACGCCACCCGCGGCCAGCTACACCACACCGCAGCATCGGCCCGCGCGAGCTGCTGCAGGCGCATGTCTACTGCCTGCTCAGCAGCTGATGCATTGCCCTTCCTTCAGCACCGCAGCCGCTGCATGGCCGACCCTCAGCCAACCAACATCCATGTCTGTGCGGCCGCGCCGGCCCGCCCTCCCACCTGCTGCGGTCCACGTTGAAGCCCGTCACGCTCGCCACCCGCTTCTCATACACCTTCCAGAGCTTGATGGTCTTGTCGTTCGTCGAGATGATGTGCTTGGTGTTGCTGCTGCTGCGGACCCACCGGACCTTGTTGATCTTCTCCTCAATTTCCAGGCTCTTGAGGTAATCAAACTCGGGCTCGTGTGACTGGAACTCTGTCAAGTAGCGGTATTCAAACCCCGGCCCCCGTGGCAGTGGCGGCGGCGCCCGCTGGTCCATGCCCACGTACCGCTGCGGGGCGGGTGGTTTGGGTGGGGCGGCGGGCGCGGTCAGCACGCGTATGCCAGGGCAGCTGCGGGCTCGCCCTTGCTGGCAAGTGTCAACGTGGAGGGTGCTGCTGCTGCTGCTAGGGTAGGGGATTGTGTCAGGCATGCCACATGATTATTCTTGCTAGGCACGCCACAGCCATCCTACCGCACAGGTGACCCCAATCACTCCCATGCCACGGCGCAGCGGCGCACCGGGCCGCGGCCCCAGGTACGTGCCCTGCAGAGACAGCACCCTGCACGCGAGCTCAGCTCATATTTACGTGCCCTCCAATCCGCCAATGGGGCTCAATATGCCGCTGTCCCCCCCTCACCCTCCCCAAATGCACCTGCTGCATGGGGACCTTCTCAAACAGCACCACGCGCCCGCCCTTGTCGCCGGTTGCCAAGTACGACCCATCCGAGTCGAACTCCACCGCAGAGATAACATCCGCTAAGATCGAACGTCGGATCAGGAAAGCCGGGGGCGGGCACAGGTGGCAGGAGGGGTTGGGCCAGCGCGAGCCATGTCATGGCGGTGGGCCCCCCGTTGGGCCCGGTCCAAGGCTCCTCGAGCGTCTTATCGTTATATATGGATTCCATTATAACCTCGTGTGCGCTGAACTGCTGCCTGGAGGCCCCCGATCGACCCCAACACGGGCTTGGCGCCACACCGCCGCGGACTCACCCTCCTGCACCTCCTCCCCAGGCGTGCGCTCCCCGAAACATTGTAGAAACTGCCACTCAAAAGGCTCTCCACCAGACAGGCATCCAGGGCCCGCGGGACCCTTGTCTGCTGGCATGCTGCCTTTGTTGCTGCCGCTACACCATGGCACGCTGCCGCGGGCGCCCCTTTCTATTGCTATTACTTATCTACGCTCAACTGGCCAGACGAGGGCGATCGGAGGCCCCGGACGAGCGCCAACTGCAGTCAACAGTGCAAAATTGCTGGGCTGTGTGCCGTATGGGCGTGCGCTTGGTGTCAAAGTACGTGCACTTGATGCTTTGTGCAAGGGGTTTGCTCGATGGCTGCGCGAATGCACGTTTCAGAGTTGCAGCAGGCGCTCGACCGTCCCACTGTTTTCGCCGGTGACCCCATTGTGTTTGTTTCTGTCCCAGCCGTCAAGACACCCGGACGACCTGGAATGCTTGACGTGATATTTCATCACTCGCTGCTTCCAACCATACTTTCTTTGCGCAGACACACGGGGTGGGTGATCTGGTATCGATAGCCAAAGATCTGCTGGGCCACGCGCCAATAGAAAAGAACGTAGTAATTTGCAGGACCTGTAGCAGGTCCAGCTAGACCAGCTAGTGTAGGAGCCTAAGGGATGGGGGACACTCGCCCGACAGCCCCCATCCTCGATGGCGACCTCAAGGACCCCAAAATCTTCTACCATAACGCCGCTTACAAGACCAACCGCGTGGCCATCAACCTGGAGAAGATGAAGGTGTGCTGGCTGTGGCGCATGTGCGCACTCGCCCTTTGATGCTCTCTCATTGCGCATGCAGTGCTTTGCTGAGGCTCCCGTGCAAGTGTTGGCTCCGCAGCATGATGCGGAGAGGTCTGAACCTGCAGAAGGGTGGGCCTTTGAATGGCGCTGGCTGGGCGTCAGAGAGAGGCCAGTCCTGCTGCTGCGCCGTCAACCCTGCACGCCGCCTGGTTCCAGCAGCAGCCGTGCGGCCGCCCGCCCCGGCGCACCCCCCGCCCCAGGTGCTGAAGGAGCGGCTTGGGGACTGCGTGCGGGAAGAGGGCGTCAACTACATCGACAAATGCGAGCAGGTGAGACCAGCGCAGCTGCGCGCAGTGACGTGCATCCGCGCACAGCAAGCCATTGCGGGCCGCAAGGCATCCGCTTGGCAGCAGGGCAGTGCGGGTCTGCGCACCACGGGCCTAGTATGGGTGGCTTTGTCCTGCAGCACTGCGAAGCAAAGGTGATGCTCTGCCTCAAGCTCATCTCTGGCCTCATGCCCCTCCACTCCGCCCCTTCCCTCGCGTTTGCCCCAGCTGACGAGGCGCTACGAGGCGATCGTGCGCGTCTGCCAGTGGCAGTCGGGCAAGAACCAGCGCGCGCGCAACGTGGGCGGCATCCTGGACAGGGAGAAAGATATCAAGGCAGAGTTGCGGGCAGAGGGCGCGCTCGCATAAGGCCAGAGCCCTCACATGTGGGCGACTGTCTCCGGCCCAGCTGCGAACCCCAAGGCATGCCAAACGGTTGGGGCTGCACGTGCTCGCACGCGCCGTGGGGCTTGTCCTTTGTACTGTACATCCACCCGCTTTCTGGGCTTTTTAGACCCACTGGCTTGACAAGCGTTCAGAGTTGTGGTAACACACGCGTACCGGGCTAAGCCACAGTTTGCTTCTTGCTGTGTGTGCATTGGACAACAGGGTGGCAGCTCCGCCAAGCGACCGCGTCGTAGCAGGACTTTGTCATGACAGATCAGCACGGACAGCAGCGAGTTCCAGGGCGCCGTCTGCCCATCAGCAGCACGCAACGCACGCACATGTATATCGGAGTGCAAGGCAGGCAGAGAATGCACTCAAGTGTTTGCATGCAGGTTTGGCGCATCAGTGTGACCAGGAACGTATGGCAAGAGTCAGCACGCTTGACCCAGAACACTTGTCACTGCTGCAAAAGTCACTTGTCACTGCTGCGGACGAGGGCACATGCCATTCTGGCTGCTTTCGTCCTTTTCAACTGACGACATGTGCTTGTAATTAGCTCCTTTGCTATCACAAGCATCGACACGCGCTGCCCCGATCTCAGATTTGTACTGTATCTCGAGCTCGTCTTTTCGACTGTAGTGCACCCGTTAGCTTTATTGGGGGGGATGACTGTTGGCTGCAGCCCGAGTGGCGCTCACAAGCTCGCAGGTGGCTATGCGCGCAGCGGACATTCAAATGATGCAGGCGCCCCTATCCCGACTGCGGCCAAGCAGCAGCAGCAGCAGCAGCAGCAGCAGCAGCAGCGCGGCGCTAGCAGCGTTGAGGTGTACGGATTTGTTGGCTGGATCACGTCAGGCGTGGCGTTTGGTGAGAGCAGTGGCTCTGGTGCCGCTCGCATTTATGCCCCATCCTGTTGCTGGCTATCAGCGCTTTGAATCGCTGCTACGTGGTATGCCTAAGCCTCTCGCGGCACCGCAGCGTTGTACGTGCTCTGGGCGGCACTGCCAGAGCAACAGCTCAGCCGCTTGGGAGTCACCTACTACCCCTCAAAGTGGGTCGCCCCCTTGCCTGCAGCGCGTGCACAGACGCACGCTCTTGCCGCGCATGCCGCATTCGAACCGAGGGCATCATGCCTCAATGCGCTTTCACGGCGCTGCCGCCACCGCGGGCGCCATACGCCCGCGCAGGCACTGGGCGCTCGCGGTCCCTCTGTGGCTGCTGCTAGCCGTGGTGTACACGTACTGGGTCTACGAGGGGTGCGCCGCCGGCTGTGCGGCCTGCGACGCGCATACGCGTGTTGTGGTGTTACCTGCAGACAGCACGTGGCTGGTGGTTATAACAGGCTGGACATGCGCAACCTCAGCCTGCCAGGGACCAGCCACAGCCGTCAACCATCGCAAACCGCTCTCAGGCTCAACGCGCTGGTCGTGCCGCCGCTGAGCTCGCTCACCAACATCCAAGGTGCGCCGCATCCCCGATGCCGGCTGTTTGCCAAGCAGCCGCGTGCTGCACACACACAGCCATGCCGTTTTGCGACAAAGCAGCTTCGATTGGCGTCCCGCCTACAGCCCCTCGTCAACCAAACCAGCCACCAAACCTCTGGACACCTCGTAGACATCATTCTTGTCGTAGCTGTCCCTTGTTGTGCAGCGCGCAGGCACCCTCGCACCCTTGCTTTGCAACACTGTCAACCCCACGCATTCCAGACCCCAAGTCTAGGTGGGCCCAGGAGCTGGGCCTTTGCAGCTCCATGGGCGGCACCGACCGGTCAATACCCCCGCTGATGCACCTGCCGCCGCCGGTGGTCAGCCGTGTGCTGTACGGCGGGGAGGGCGTGAGAGGTGGGCTTGTGCGGGGCGCTCCAGGCGACAGCTCTTGGGCATGTGGGGTGCGGCGCGGACTGCACGAGTCAATGGATGCAGCGGTAACTATTGTCACATATGCTGCAACCTCTGCCATACCCCTTCACCGCAATTATGCTTTCATGTGGTCCATATGCAGAGGCGGAGGCTGCGGAGGCCGCGATCGCTGACGCAGCACCATCAGTGAGAGGTGCCGGCATCCTCGAAGGTCACAGCCCAGGTGCTGCGAGCGGTGGTATGAAATTGTTGCAGCGGCGGCAACAACGTGCTGTTGTATGATGTGGTGACATGCACACCAACTTATGCTGCACTTGGTTTGCCCAGATTTGGGCACGGTTCTGAGTAAGCAGGTGCCTTGAACCGCCCCAAAACCTCAACGTCCCTCGGCCATCCGGCAGCCAATGCAAACATCAAGTGCCCCCATCGCATCTAGACCTGTGATATTGCATCAAGATCTTTGTACAACCCATTGTACATCAAGCCCTTTGCACAGTGCTCGACCGAGGAAATGCTGGTGGCCACCAGCATGGGTCGCTTTGCATGGGGCAACTGCATGGATGACGCAACACATTGCCTGGCATGAGTCACAAGAGCATGAAGCATACCCTGAAGCTGAGGATGGTTTGTCCTCGGGCTAGTGTCTGTTTCATGTACAGTACACACGCTATCGGACTGAGAAAGCAAGATCAACTGCGTCCCTCGGCGTTGCAACTTGATCATACGGCACAATCATATCCGCCGCAAGTAATCTGATTTCCGCCGAACAACTATGAAGCTTTTTATGATTAGCGTCGTTGTGTTGGCACTCTCCGCGAGCTCGCTCGCCACGAGGTTCAGCGTGGCACAGCTCAAGGCCCCAAAGAGCTCAGGGTTGAGGCGTTTGCATCAAAATGGGTCACACAGGACGCAGGGGCCACTACTGCGCGAGCCGCCTCAGGTTGGCCCCGACATGCCGTCAGTTGTTGGGTTGCTTGCAGCTGCATCGACGCAAGCCGCAGGGCCTCTAGGCGATCCCCAGCATCATGCACCACCACTTCGCTTTCTGCATACTCTCCTGCAGGTGACACTTGCCGACATAGCCATCACCGTGGGCGGCCAGCGCGCTCGCATACAGGTGCCGCTGCCGCAGCCTCCCCCAGACAAGGGGCCGCCGCCGCCACCGCCAGCGCCGCAGTCTGCTTCATCCAGCAATGGCTCGGAGCCTGAGGATGGCGATGGGGGGCCCCCTGCTGCAACAGACACCAGCAACCCCGAACCATCCAAGGTCTGTGTCAATCTTTGCCCGTTGATGTGGGCCTGGGGATGCTTGGGTTGACTCATCAGCAGCCAGCTTGCAGACTTGGAAGCTTCCTGAGTCCGGCAGCATCAGCCTGCCGTCACGCACACCGCGCTGGAACACATGTCGATGAATGTCACGCCACGCCGCAATTTGGGATGCCACGGGTGTTGAGCTCTGCTGGGACCAAACCGCCACCTATTATGTGATGCCCAAACAGGTTGACGTCCGGATTTCCGATCTGTTCCCAGACGGCGGCACCGGCAGCAACGGCGACGCCGGCAACGGCGGCCGCAAGATGCAGCTGTTCACGCCGCGCTTACCGCAGGAGCGGGTCGGCCGCGCCCCTAGCAGCCACGGCAGGCAGCCGCAGCTGTGGCGCTGCCACCCCAACGGCGGTCGTCTTGACGACGAGGCGCCACCAACCGCTATGAGCAGCTTGCTCTGGCCCCAGCGGTGTTGGCGCCTGCTGCAGCGCGCGCGGCAGGTGTTGAGCCGGTCCCTGCTTGGCGTCTCTGACTCTTTCGGTGCCGCCGGGAGCCCCGCCGGCCCGCAGCAGCAGCAGCCGGCGCCCAGCGGCGCCCCAAGTGCCAGCACTGCTGGCAGCGACGGGGCGGGGGAGGCTGCGCGGGTCAGCGAGCTCGAGGCAGCGCTGCAGCGGCCGCAGGGCCCAGAGTTGACGCTGGGTCAGGTGAAGGGCGTCACAGCGAACCCAGGAGGGGCCGGCGACCCGCCCCCAGCTGGGGGCGCGGCAACGCAGTCGGCCGCGCACGCCTCGGCGGGCGGCGGTCAGGGAGCGGCCGCCGCCGCAAGCGCCGGCCACCGGATGATGCGGCGGCGCATCGGGCGCGCTCTGAGGGTTGCTGGCGCGCTGGCC